CCAGGTCATGGTATATCTGTAGAAGGTTCTCATTCATCCAGGTCATGGTATATCTGTAGAAGGTTCTCATTTATCCAGGTCATGGTATATCTGTAGAAGGTTCTCATTTATCCAGGTCATGGTATATCTGTAGAAGGTTCTCATTCATCCAGGTGATGGTATATCTGTAGAAGGTTCTCAATCACCCAGGCCATGGTATATCTGTAGAAGGTTCTCATTCATCCAGGTGATGGTATATCTGTAGAAGGTTCTCAATCACCCAGGCCATGGTATATCTGTAGAAGGTTCTCAATCACCCAGGTCATAGTATATCTGTAGAAGGTTCTCATTCATCCAGGTCATGGTATATCTGTAGAAGGTTCTCAACCACCCAGGTCATGGTATATCTGTAGAAGGTTCTCAACCACCCAGGTCATGGTATATCTGTAAAAAATAAACCAAGGCAACTGGACTTGCTGTATTTATCCTGAAGACGTTTCACTGGCCATCCAACCAGCTTTCTCAATTCAGAATGAAGCTAGTTGGGTGACCAGCAAAACGTCCCTCTCTCTCAAACAACTATGCAGCTCTGACTTCACCAAATTTCCTGTCATGAACGTCTGTACCACATCAATATTTGAGGTGCCATAACTACCTAAAGTAATGTTACATTAAGTAATAACCAACTTTCATGTCAGTGCTTATTGTTATTCAGATCATTCACCGATGGAGGGCAAGACGGTTTGTTTTTTTTCCAAGATGTTTATTTCATAAAAACAAAATGGGATGTGGCCAGCGGCCCATGCAGGGAAGGTGTAACAGATAGAAAGGGAGGCACATGTCTGATTCAGTATGGGGATCTGAGAGGGTCTCAAACATGGTGCCATCATTAACCCCCGTTTTTAGCTTGTTGAAGGTCCGCCCACCTCTGTCTGCAGAGCTGGAGGTCGTTTAAAAGCAGCAAATGGAAAGGACGAAGTGGGAATTTCAAAAACTGGGGAAAAGGACGTTGGTTTGTAGAGGTCCAAGCATTTGCTGGCTTTGTATGAATTCCTGCAGGTGAATGGGGCCTGATCGGAGGAAGGCTATACCGACTAAACAGCTTTACCCAGAGGTCTGTCCTGTCTAGTCTTTGGTAGAGCTGACCTTGATATCAGTGATCTGGTAAATCAGCAGCAGCGTACAGTTCAGAACATGTAACATACAATCTTGTATGACCTTTCAGATTCTGTGGGACGAGTTCTGTGGATCTGTAACATTCAAAAAGACATTCTGGCCAAATGTGGATTTGCAAAACACGAGATTATCATCACACGTCTCAGTAAGTGGGTGCATGGCTCTGCAACAGTCACTATTCTTGAACATGTCAGCCTGCGAGTACAGGTCCCATTATGACAGCCGCCTGTCCTTTAAAAAGGACCCGCTGCACGCCATTGCTCTGGCAGTATCAGTTCCTCAATTATAAAGTAATCCAGAGTGGCTCCGTGTTCTGGTGTTCCCTCATCTCCCGCTCCATGGCTTATATTCCTGCGGCTCAGAGTCTTCTTCCTGTGGGTTTTGGAGCAGCGGCTTGGCTCGGGGCAGAGCTCGCTTCCCCGTTCTGGGGTTCAGGAGCGACTCCGGTTCTCCTGGTTTCCAGAGATGATGCGGCTGTACAGTTTCTGTTGCTCCTCTTTGAACGCGTCTTTGACCTTATCCCGTTTTAGTCCCCCATCCCTGCGGAGGAACGGAGAATCAGCAGTGAGTTACAAAGGTGACTGATATGACCGATGCAAAGAGCAGCAAATGTTCCAGGCTTACCAAAGCAGATCGACGAGTCCCCCTTGCCGAGCAATGGCTGACTTCACGCGGTTCGCAAACTGCACTGCGTCTTCATCCTCCTGCGAGTTGGAGAAAAGACAACATGTTCAATCGTCAGCTTATATATAAAGACTTGAGGCATTCAGGTAAAGGAACAATACTCCACCGTTTCTCTACTTATTCTGTAGGTTCACAATCCCCTTCTCATATATCAGGGGTAGGCAAACTCCGGCCCTCCAGTTGTGCTGAAACTATGAATTCCACCATCATGACTCTGGGAGTCAGGCCTGTGGCTGTCAGACTCTTGCAATGTCCCGTCTCACCCCAGCAGCAGGGCCGGAGTTTTCCTTCCCCGTGCTACAAATAAATAATGGATTGTGAAATTCACTATAGCATTGCCAAACTTCAGACCTCCAGCCGTGGTGAAACATCAAATCCCACGAGGCATTGCAAGACTGAGAGCCACAGGCATGATTTCTGGAAGATGATGCATTATGGGATGTGTAGTTTCACCACAGCTAGAGGGTTGAAGTTTGGCTATCCCCGCCGTAGCCCGCCTCCGTTTCAATATTTACCCGGTATTTTAGCGGTAGCAGAAAGTGCTTGGCAGAACATTCACTTGAAAGTAAACTGTCCCATGTGTGTATGGGGAGTCACCACGACAACCGCCATACCTTTCTTACAACACAAAATGGAAAGTCAAAAACAAAAGAAACTGGTCCAAGGGTCTCACTGCTCAGTCAGACCTCACTGGGGTCCATAGAGGTGCGCTTCCCTAACGTCCTCTTTCTGCATCACCAATCACTTCTAAACTCTCACCATGGACCTGTTCTTTTGTTGTTGGCTTGGCATGTTGTGATTGGGCATGGTCTGAAAACTGAACGCTGTCTCTGAATAGTTGCATTCAGAGACAGCCTTGTGGCAGCAGCTTCTGAGCTTCAAACCAAAAAGGAACCTTAGAGGCCAATGCAAAAGTGACAGCTGAGTGAGTAAGGGGCTATAGTACTGAATCCGGCCCGCCAGGCCATTTCATGGGGCTCTTGCACGTCTCCTGCAGCTTTAAATTTTCAAACCGAAGCCGAAGCTGTAAACAGACGCCGGGCTTCACAGGAAGGCTGCCGAGGTCCACAGCAAGGTCCCCGCAGTCTTCCTGTGAATCGCGACACCTGTTTACAGCGCCGGCAGAAAATCTCCTTCCTGTGGATCCATGTCACCAGCACCCGCCAAGACCGACCAGGACCCCTGGCAAGACCGTACAGCCCTCCTAAGACCCTGCACAGCCACCTGAGAGTCTGCACAGTCCACCATAGAACCTGCACAGTCCACCATCTTTCTGCATCACCAATCACTTCTAAACTCTCACCATGGACCTGTTCTTTTGTTGTTGGCTTGGCATGTTGTGATTGGGCATGGTCTGAAAACTGAACGCTGTCTCTGAATAGTTGCATTCAGAGACAGCCTTGTGGCAGCAGCTTCTGAGCTTCAAACCAAAAAGGAACCTTAGAGGCCAATGCAAAAGTGACAGCTGAGTGAGTAAGGGGCTATAGTACTGAATCCGGCCCGCCAGGCCATTTCATGGGGCTCTTGCACGTCTCCTGCAGCTTTAAATTTTCAAACCGAAGCCGAAGCTGTAAACAGACGCCGGGCTTCACAGGAAGGCTGCCGAGGTCCACAGCAAGGTCCCCGCAGTCTTCCTGTGAATCGCGACACCTGTTTACAGCGCCGGCAGAAAATCTCCTTCCTGTGGATCCATGTCACCAGCACCCGCCAAGACCGACCAGGACCCCTGGCAAGACCGTACAGCCCTCCTAAGACCCTGCACAGCCACCTGAGAGTCTGCACAGGCCACCATAGAACCTGCACAGTCCACCATAGAACCTGCACAGTCCACCATAGAACCTGCACAGCCACCTGAGAGTCTGCAAAACCCAGCATAGACCCAGCACAGCCCACGCACATCCACTTGAGTCTGCTGAGCCAAGCATAGACCCCCCGCTCAGCCCACCTGAGAGTCTGCACAGCATAGACCCAAAACAGCCACCATAGAATCAGCATAGACCCCGCACAACCTACCTAAGGGTCCGCAGAGCTCAGCATAGACCCTGCTCAGACCACCTGAGAGTCCGCACAGTCCACCATAGAACCTGCACAGCCACCCGAGAGCCTGCAAAACCCAGCTTAGACCCCGCTCAGCCCACCTGAGAGCCTGCAAAGCCCAGCATAGACCCCACATAGCCACTTGAGAGTTTACACAGCCCACCATAGAGCCTGCACAGCTCACCTGACAGTCTGCAATACTACACTAGTTGCCATTATTTTTCCTAGACTTTCAGAGCTAGCCATTAAGTTATTACTAAAACCGGTAATAATCAAATGCAGAGGCAATTATTTACTATGATAAAGAGTAGATACAACCGGCCCTTTGAGGGCAACCATAATGCTGATGCGGGCCGCAATTAAATTGAGTTTGACACCGCTGGGTTATAGTTTTGAGGTTGAGGGTTGCCAGTAGTGTGCAAATGCATTTCTGAAGCATCCCATCAACCCTTCCAGTGACTATTGTAACTTTAGAATATTTCATGGTGTTAGTTGACTAATTATGTTGACGATAACGAACACATGCCTAGTATATCATTTGTTTTAATTCAACTTGCTGCTTCATTTGCCTAATGACATCTAATACAAAGTGGTAATTTTAGGACTGAGCACCATATAAAAACCTGAATTACCTATTAATATGAGGCCTATTGTTCTCACTTCATTTCAATCATTTAGTATAAAGAGAATTCAATTACGTCCCGCTATTGTATCAAACATAAAAAGGTCCAGCAAGGTGCACACAGTGCTACAGCAGGCAGGGTAGTGCCAGGACTAGCAATGACATCTGCTGATTGGTCAGGTTCCGAGGCCACCGGGGCGTGCAGGACTGAATGAGGACATATGCACCTTGTGTACCTGTTAGGGACATGACCTTTTTAATCCTTTCTTTGCCAGGCAAATGAATCCCTTTTCCTTTTCCAGGAACGCGTTTAGAACTATGTGGTGGGTTAGTGCAAAATACTGCAGTGCCATTCATTTTAGATGGTGGCACCCCAACACACTATTACAGGGCAACCCAAACTGTAACGCTGCACAACGCACAGCAAATGCATCAGAAAAAAAAAAACATCTGCTTTTGCATGTATTGTGGTGTGTTGGCGGCCCATTAACCCCTTCATGACTGAGGCCCTTTTTTTTTCTTCTTCATTTTTTGCACCCATGTTATATTCCACATTTTAGGCCTGAAAATTAATTAAAACCCCCAAACATTATACATTTTCTGAAAGCCAAGACCCTGTAGAATAAAATGGTGGCAGTTGCAAATTTTTATGTTGCACGATATTAGCGCAACTGATATCAAACCCCCAAATCTAGTGAAAAATGCACTTAAATGCCCCAAAACACAATAAAATAGCCATTTTTAAAATAAAATAGATGAGGTTATGAGTAGATACCCAACGTGCTCAGGTTAAAAATTGTGTGCGTCCGTTAAACGGCGACAAAATTCAGTACCCCAAAAAGTCCATAGACGACGCTTTAAAAGCTCCCACAGGTCATCAGTTTAGAGCGCTAGAATTATTGCGTGCGCATCGATACCCAACGTGTGTAGTGCATTCGTCATTTTCATCGTAGGCGCACCCGGCCTGTGTTTACGTGAAGACGCGTGTGCCTGTGGGGGACTTTACACATTTTTAAAAAATTATTTCTACATTTTATTTATTATTTTCAAAAACGGATTTTTTTTTACTTTAATTGTTATCACATAGGGGGGCTTACAAGCTCCCCATGTGATAGCAGATAGTGGTGACAGGTACTCCAAAAGACCCCCAGTGGGGGGGTCGTCGTCAGACGGGGGGAATGGGTTGGACGACACACGTTCACCGGCCCGTAGAGGCAATCTGGCGACAGCGGAGCCGCCAGAATCGCTTCTACTGTAAAACCGTCAGTCGGTAGTCGGCTTCAACAGTAGTCGTTTAAACAGCCCCGATGCCAGCGGCGTACACTGTTTGTCGCTGGTCATGAAGGGGTTAAAATGAATGGAGAGGGAATTAATCACTCCCGGCTTCCTGATTGTCCGGGAAGCCGGCTCCCGAGGCAATCAGGAAGCCAGGTGGCGAGTAATGACCTGCCTCCCAGCTTCCTGATTGGCCGGCTCCATGCAGATAAGCCAGCTTCCCTGCCAATCAGCATGGATCCGGCTTCCTGGACAATCAGGGAGCCGGGTCATTACTTGCCGCACGGCTTACCGATTGGCCGGGAAGCCGACTCCATGCTGATTGGCTGAGAGCCAGCCAAACTGCATGGAGCCGGCTTCCTGATTGTAAGGGAAGGCGGCTCCATGTTCCCCCTATGGCACTGCCGGTCAGAGGAAATCCTGCTCTGACTGGAAGTTCCAGTATCAGGGAAGGTGTCAGAGCATTTGGGCGAGTACTCGTATCATATTCGGTATCGGCGCAACCCTACTTTTAAGATATGCGTGCCCTAATGTGCAAGTATGATTGGGCAAAAACCAAACAAATTTCAAAGCGGTTTACTTCCACTTTAAGAAGTTTATAAACAGCGCAGGCGGCTTAACACAAATGAACGGTGTCATCAGACTCCGGTTACAGCAATCACTATGATGAAACTGCAGAGTCTGCACACGGCAAGTTCTGTGCGAGCAAGGACGTCTAGATACAGATTACTTCTCTTCATGAAATACTCTACGAGACCGTATATTACATCACATGGCACTAAATATGGAATATGTACAAAAATTGGCATTTACTGCTTTTTCTCTTTTTTTTAATTTATTTTTAATTTAGTATGTAAAAAAAAAAATCAAAGAAGTCAAAACTTTCCAGGTTTCCTGAGTCAGTGAAACAAGTATGTCCGAGTATCCCGATGTCTGGCCATGGGTGCACCAGACAACGAGTTTGTGCAATATTGCCCCATTGACCATGAACTGTCACCAGATGGAAGTTGGAGCGGTCACTACAGTTCACGGCTCTTATGTAACAGTTCACAATCTTCCCAAGTTTCATGAATTGTTCAGATTATCAGACTATGTACATCCTATAGCAGTGGCTTCTAAAGTTTTCATCGAGGCCTCAATTGACAAGTGACATCCGGTCCTTGAATCTTTATTTTAAATGCTTTTCATCACACATTCCACACGAGACTGCAAGAAGTGTGCCTGGGAGTTCCTCTTTTGCATCGCAAGCATGTATCACCAGACCAGCGACGGTGGACCAGTGCTCTAGTAAGTAATGCTTGGCTAAAAAACGGATGTAAAATGCAAATAGGATGTTCGACTTGTATGGATATTAAACTTTATCTTCAGTTCCAACTAGACTGTACCTTTCATAGCTAGAGTTAGCACTGAAGCTGCAGCACATCAGTCACAGTATCCCAATGAATGACAAAAGAATTTAAAGGCTAAGGCATCCCTAGTATAGATAGTTTAACTGGTTTCCTATCTTATGTATATGAACCAACTTGGAAAAACTTAAATGCAAGAGGGTGCAACCCCCTAACCTAAAATACATGAAATCTGCCGTAAAATAAACTGCATACCCAAAGTCTTTCACCAGCCTTAAGGTCCCCACACACCTTGCGATAATCGTACAATAATCGCGCGAAATCCCACGATCGTACGATTATCGTAAGGTGTGTGGAAGCCGTGCGACATCTACTACTGTAAGGTCGCACGACTTAACTTCTGAACATGTTTGAAAACCCGCCGAGCATCGTACGGGCGGGTGTGTAGCATGTTCGTAAGATAAAAGCCGGACGGGCCGGTGTGTGCAAGCATTGCGGTTATCGGAAGCCCACCCCTCAGGGGGGCACGGCTTGCGATCATCACAAGTACGATCTGCCTGTCCAAGGTAGGCAGATCGTACGTTTTTTTAAGTACCTTACAACCATCGCAAGACAAAAGTCTTGCGATGGTTGTAAGGTGTGTGCCCAGCATAAGAGAGCAGTTACATAACAATAGACAACGTGATCATTTCATGTAAGCTCACCTGTCGCATCATAGGTGGTAGGTACCAGACACTGCACACTATGGCCCAGCTGGTCATCATTCGCAGGAGGTAGGTGATCATTCCATATTTACTGCTGTTAAAGAAGGCATCACCAAAGCGTGGGTCATACTGCCAAGAAGAAAGGAAGTGTTGGTGATGTCCCAATTATTGGCTTGCTCCCCCCCCCCCCACATATTCCACAGGACTCCTCAACTCACCTTGATGGCCACTGGGTATACTGTGGCTCCTATTTCAAAGCTTCCCTTCTTGAACATCATGACAGATGTGTTATTGATACAGGTGCCTAACGAGAAAAAGAAAAGATAATGAACGGAACAATGTACAGCCAATTTACTCCTCTGTCTACAGAAACAGCATCGGACAAGGATTCTAACTTCAGCAACCCATTTGGCTTAGGAAATACATGCAGTCCCCGGGCTATGATCAAGATAGGTTCTGTAGGTTTGTTCTTAAAGGAGAACTATGGGGTTAAGGCTTTTCCCCATAGTTCTCCTTAGGGTAACGGGAGGACACAAACTAGCGTCCTCCCGTCACCCTAGGCTCAGTATACCGCGAGCTGTAGCGGATCCCTATAATTGTGCTGGGATCTGCCCAGCTGCGTGACTGACAGCTGGCTCTGCCTATCTAGAGGCAGAGCCAGCTGTACCCGCCCCCTCCCCATTCCGCCAGTCCGCGCTGGCGGATCGGAGCGGGGAGGGGGGAAACCAGCCCCCCCCCCGTCACGCCAGGGAGCCGTGACAGGATCGAGATGTGAGCGAACGCCGGTATGTGTTCGCTCACCTCCCGATCTACTGAGCCGACCTGTGACAGTCTCATTGTCACAGGTCGGCTAGAACTATGTGGTGAGTGAAAAGCACCCACCTCATAGTTCTCCTTTAAGTTGAATTTGTATGTCAGTTGGAACAGGTACATTTTTTAAATGTAACTCCAGCCCCAAAAATGTTTTTTCGTTTTGGATAGCATTCGTTTGTTTCGCTGTGTGTGCCCCTGTTCAGAAGATTTCACCTCACTTTCTGTCGCTGGGACAATTGGATTCTGAAAATTGGAAACAAGGATTGGTGATAAAGCTTCAGTGGAGACACCTTTTTCCCATGATCACTCTTACAGGAGTGAATTTCCCTTCCTAGGGGTAGATTTCCTCTCACTTCCTGTTGTCTCAAGGACAGGAAGTGAGATAAAATCTTCCTAAATGAGGATACAGACAGCAGTAAAAACCTCACAGTGACCCAGAAAAAGAGCACCCCTCGTCTGCACATCTAACAAGCGCCAACTTCCTGTAATGTACGTACAATTCTACAAACCAGACCGCGGGGCACTCCTCGTCTGCACGAGCGCGGTAGCATTACAACGACTGAAATGCTGCGCGGTACACTTTGGCTGCAGCCTGGGACCCCCTGCTGTACAGTAATAGCCTCTGTTTGTAAGTAGGGGACGTATGTAAGTCGGATGTTTGCAACTCAGGGACTGCCTGTATGCACATGGGGATCAATGGGTTTCATGTATTGGTGCAATGTATGAAGCAGGACCAGCAGAGTGCGAGTCTCTAATCCAATGCATGGAAGTTCCAGTCTAAATGACTTTAGGTAGCTAAAAATGGCAGCACAGTCTCCCTGGAAGTCAATTATTTCTACAAATGTTCATAAGGCTGACAGCAAATGAGATAAAGACGGAGGAACAGGCCACAGGTAAGACTGGAACTCTCAATGGCAGAGATGGAATTAATCCACTACAGCCAATTATCTGCTTGTTGATTTTGAAAGGATGGGCCCTTTAATTTGTACAAACTAAACGTGAAAAACACATTGGTGTCTTTTGAAATGCACCGTTTACTATACATGCATCCCCTGCTCGATCGTTACTGTGGTTTTATAAAACTGCACCAGGGTGGAGGGTTTTTTTCCCCTCCAGATTTTGCATTAAAAAAAAAAACGGATCTCTGAGCTTCTGTCAGCAATGCAGACAGCTCATGGGAGGAGCCAAAAGAGTGTAGTGCATGGCTTCCTAAAAATAAGAATCTGTGGCTATGGCCACATGTGTTGTTGAGCCACACACCCAATAAAAGTGAGTGAATGTACAGTCAGGCCGGGGAGGAAAGGCGGCTAGAAGGCTAGCTCACTTGTTATCTCTCGTCTCGACTATTGCAACTCCCTCCTCATTGGCCGACCTCTAAACAGGCTCCTCCCCCCTTCAATCTATCATGAATGCTGCTGCCAGACTCATTCACCTAACCAACCGTTCAGTATCTGCATCCCCTACACTGGCTTCCATTCCTCACCCCTCCCTGCCAATCCCTCCACTGGATCCATCCCTCACCCCCCACTGCCAATCCCTCCACTGGCTTCCAATTGCCTAAAGGATCAAATTAACAACCACTTAAAAAGCCATTCACAACTCAGCCCCAGGTTACATCTCCAACCTTGTCTCAAAGTATCACCCTAACCGTCCGCTATGTTCCTCCCAAGACCTCCTGCTCTCTAGCTCCCTTGTCAACTCCTCCCATGCTCGCCTCCAGGACTTCTCTTGAGTCTCCCCCATTATTTGGAACTCCTTACCTCAACCTGTCCGTCTATCTCCCACTCCGACTGCCTTTAGGCGATCCCTTAAGACTCCTCTCTTCAGGGAAGCCAATCCCCCCTCAACCTAACCACTGAAATATCACTTTTTTAAATTCATCCCCACACAGCCACCTCCTCCTGTATCACTTGCCCCTCCCTTTTAGATTGTAAGCCCTCAGGGGCAGGGCCCCCCTTACCATCTTGTCCTGAATTGTATTGTGATTGTAATGTCTTACTTATATTGTAAAGCGCTGCGCAAACTGTTGGCGCTATATAAATCCTGTATAATAAGAATAATATTCGGAACGTCCTCCAGCCAGGAAATGAGGCGGGCTCTGTCTGATATGCTGCAGCTTCTAATGTACATTGTGAGACGCTCGCAGCGTGCAGTGACATTACAGTAAGCAATTTTAGTACAACTGGGCAAGATGGAAGGGAAAGGCTTTGGTTGTAATTGTAACCAAAATCGGATGTCATCTTTTGCCGCTGGTTAAACCATATGATGAAAATGCGTGTATGTCCAGTGGCAGAGAAAAACACACCCCTGGGAGCAATAAGTGAATAGAAGCCATACACCTAAAGAGGACCCGTCATGAACTCTCCTACTTATCTAAAGATAAAGGCTGAAGAGCCGCTCCTACCTTCAGGGAATATAAGGATTGGCAGTTTACTCTGATCTTTCGCATGCTCCGATAGCCTGGGGAAAGCAAAGGGAATATGAAGACATACATAGGTATGAAGAGAGACAATATATCATAGAGTGCAATTAGGATCATAAATTATGAATACATTTTTATTGGGCTCCTGGCCGTTGCTGCACACAACCTGCTGTGACTTTGGCTCCAGATATGGGTGACGTTACTGCGTACACTATAAAAGGATCCTCTTTTCCATGAGGGAATCACTAAGCCGGCGGTTATCAATCTGTGTAACCTCAGTCCATGGTCATTAAGTTGTGACCCGAGTGCACGGGATTGCGGAACCAAGCATTCCGGTGCGGGCGATCAAACTGTGGACAGGAGGTGCGTTTGGATCGCAAGGGACTGTGGGATTAACTCACTGTACTAGTGTGAACAGGCCCTCAAAAACACACACACAACCACAGACAAAACCTCACACACTCACAGACATTCTCACACACTCTCTCCAAACAAATGTTTAATTATATATTTATGATCCACCCAGTCTCCCTACCTTATAAGAACTGGAGTGGATCCTCAGCCTGGGGTCCAGTGTGGGCTGCTGTGCCGTGATGGAGCTCCATCCATATGTGCATTGCTTGTACAGCTCCCTTGCGTGCCCTGTAGAGGTGTCGGGAACCAGAACGTGACATCACTCTGGTCCAGGCGTCTCTACAGGGCACACGAGGGAGCTGTATGCAATGCAAGTATGGATGGAGCTCACTCGCAGCCATACCCCCACCCCACGCTGACACTTGGTGCTGGGCAGCATATTTTAAATGGTTGCTCGGTACAAGAACTCACAATGCTGAGCTAGGGGGAGGATGAGGAGCCTCTCACCTAGCGCAGTGGAAGGCATGTGCCAATCCATTGAACACGGTATTGTGACCCACTTTTGGGTTTCGATTGGCAGCCAGTCTGGGACTGCTAAATGAAAGCCTCTGATGCAGCAATGGGGACATTTTGATAATTATTAGCTTCCCTACACATTACCTTTTAGCAACAAGATGTCTATCTTTGACTTCTGAGCGCTCGAACCAGACGTGTGGACAGGCCTTTACCATGGCCCTCTGGATGATTCCCATCAGACCGCCATGTACTTGTCCCACCTATGAGAAGGAGAGAATAATAAAGCAAAATATTGAGCTTAAAGCATAAGTGCATTTTTTAGACAACGTGTACTTAGCCTTTTTATCCCCCTCCCCCCTACAGATGCATAATTACATTGATCTGACAGCCGCGGTCTGCACTTCTTGTTTACATCCAGCGTTGCAAGTATTTACTGTCCTGACTGTGCCTGCACATTATAGCCCCGTAGACTTCAATGGGGCTATGTTTCGAGGCCAGAGACTAAAGCTGGTCATACACTATACAAATTGCGCACAGTGGGTGCCACTGAATGCACCCTTTTGGCCGGCATCCCTTGATCAGCTGATCGAAGGAGCCAGTCGACAAGCAATCTTCATTGATTTCCGACAGTAGGGATTCCGCAATGCATGCTCTTAAGCGTTGATGGAGGAAGCTGTAATATTTTCTTCGTTCAGCCTGCGGGTTGAACGTAGAAAATGTTACAGCGCATGGCCAGCTTAAGCAAGACGGCCAGAAAGAAGTCTATGGATCTGTAATGCTCAGGCGCAGCCAGGACAGTGGAGGCTTGCAGTGCTGCATATAAACGAATACCGGAGTCTGCAGCCATCGGATCAAGGTAGGTATGCAGAGTGGGAGGGTGGGTTAGGTCAGGTCAAGGCAGAGGTGGCAAAAAGGATAAGTGCGCTTTGTCTTAAACTGCACTTATCCTTTAAATACTAAAGTTAGTAAAACCAATCCAATGCAGCACATTACAGTACATAAAAGACAAAGACATAAAAAGTACACATTTTGAAACTAAAAACAGATTCCATAACATGCCGAATGTACCTTCTACTCCATTATCTGTGCCCCCAACACTGAGTGGATGTACTTGCGTACATACACACAATAGGTTGAACTTGATGGACCCGTGTCTTTATTCAACCTCAAATACTATGTAACCATGTACATATGTTCTTACTTTTGGAGAGTCAAAGTATACGCTCACCCTCCCGCCTTCTACATGCCAATGCCCTAGACTGCTGATGGGTCACTAAAACGCTAAGTATTGCATATGATCAGGGACGTGCCTATGATCCCACAGATCCCCAATGGTGGACACCAGCAAGCTGTGGTGCGGCAGATAGAATTGCAAACAGTCTAATGATCTAGTTATGGTGTCTGCTTTACTCTCAGTGTATGGCTCTTCATTTTTGTTTTGTTACAGGTACACTTTAAAACTTTCAACCTACCATGGCGTAATATCTATCGCTGGCAAGGATGATAACGTCAATGGGAGACGTGTGATTGGCCACACAGATGCCGCCATTCCTGGGCCGATTCTCGCTATTGAGAACAAAATATTGTGTGTAAAGCAACAGAAGAGATTTCACAGAATAAATCAGAAACCAAAGAG